AAATGAAACATCAGACTATTTATATGTTGAGAATCACTCCATGCTACTACAGGGAACTTGCATGCTAAAACATCAACTATTCAAATTACACCTAGTGTTATAGAACCTTTTTTAATAAAAAAGGGTTTCAGGTCACTCTTGAAATAAAACCATTCAGAAACTTCAGTTTACAATAATGTTTGATTGTAAACAAAATAGCTGACCAATTTTGCTTGGTCTTTAACAAATAGCTAGTGAAGTTGGCCGATTTGTTAAATTCATATGAGAGAAAAATGGATATAAAACAGCCTTTCTAGATGTTTTAATAAGAAGAGAGTAGATGGACTATAAAAAACGAACCTAAACAATAAAAAGTACTCAGACTGGTCAACACAAATACCTTCTAGGTTTTGTTTTTCTACATTATCAAAAAAAGTCCGGAAAAGATTTTCAACATAGAATGAAAGTAATTCGCTCTCCGAATACAGTTACGAAAAAACCAAACGACTTGCACGACACTTCAAGGGAAAATGAGCTTTTGAAGACGTTAATAAACAATCCACAACTATGAAAATATGGCGTAAGGAATCATAAATAACAATATAAAAATGACTGTATGTACGATACCTGTTTGTAAGTGATATACCAACCAAAATGTTAGTGTTGAGGTTACGCAAAATAATTCAAAGGGCATTCAAGGCACTAAAATTACCACAAACACTTTCTACTCATCAAATAGAGATTTTACGACTAACGAATGATTGTTCTACAGCTGACAGCTTGTTTTGCATTCTTAAATCTAACTACTATTGTGGAGCAAGCTGCGTTGACAGACGTTCAAAGAATTCGCATTTTTGTGCCCATAATTATTTCCCAGGAGGGCTAAGCAAAAGTGTAATTATAATTGTTTAACATATTCTACAGCCCATTTAATTTGACTGAGTCATACAGCTAGTATGAATCAGTTGTTAACATTAACATATTGCTTAAATCTGTCAGAGTCGGAGCCCTTCAAATGCCTGACGTAATAGGTATTTGGATAAAGAGTCCAAAGCAAAATTCATTTGTCCAACCGCTTGAGTTACTCTGGTCAACTGCAGGCCAGATAAATCAACAAGCACTGTTTGAAAGCATATAAATACATAATAGTGCTGACGTTACAAAATACATTTAGTGGATATATTTTTGAAACTTAACTGTCTCCAAAATTTCATCAAAACAGTCCTAAAATACCGACGATTAAATGCACAATCAACGATAAACATCAGCAAATAAATAGTTTCGCCCCATATAAAGATGGTCTTTAATATTACAAACAGATAATTAAAACTGCTAGTAACACGTGTAGCCCATAGGTTAAACAAAGCCCCGCAAACAGAAGGTAAACCAAACGTCAACTAAAAACTAAGTGCCAGCAACTGCAATAAACACTATATAGCAAAAAATATCTGCCCTTTTTGTCTGGGTCTGCATGTATATCAGTTGGCTACAAAATGACACGATATAGCTTCACTCAGATTAATCCATGTTGAGATTTGCAGACATGAGTCCTATTGGGAAGATTTCGGAATATTGAATGGAATAAACACCGAGAAAGTCAAGAAATTCGTGAAAGCCTGGCACTTTATTCAGGTATCAATCAATGGACACATAAGAATCAAACCGAATTTGTTAGTTAACAAGGGTAAGTAATAACGAAGATAACGTCAAAGTTTGAATCGGAAACAAAAGTGACTAAAAGAAACATATAAGTGGAGACAAAACTGCTATGAATAGCAATCAATAAGATTTCAGGTCAATAGAACAAACCGTTGGTCAATTATGGATAAATTCCAGTTGCTCACTTAACCTTGGATTGTTTGCTAGTGGTATCGTGCAAAATAACAAGAGCTTTACAATCATTCCACCTAGCTCAGATATTACAACACTTTCAACATGCGCATTATAAGTTACAAATAATATCTGCCATCTTGGTAAGAGCAGTTTTGCTCTATGCTTGTGAAACCTGATCTCTACGAGTTAAGGACGTTAGACGACTCTCTGTGTTTGATCATCGTTGTCTCCGAAGGGTTGCCGACATCCAGTGGCAACACCATGTTGGTGATGCAAAGGTTTGGTATCGTGTGTTCGGGCACAGAGACGATAATGCGATTAGTGTCACCATCTTGAAACACCGACTTCGGTGGCTTGGACATGTTCTAGGAATGTCGTCCCAGATAATTCCACGTCGTGCATTATTTGCCGACGCTGGGAATGGTTGAAAGAAGCGGAGAGGTTGTTAGTGTATGACATGGTGTCGGGGGTAAGAAAGAAAGCTGCAAAGGGCTTGCTTCTGGTGGTCCTTCACGACTCCCCGGCTGGGGTCTGAGAGGTGGTGTTACACAGTGGCTAGAGACGTTATCAGGTATGGCTTAGAACAGAAGCCAGTGGCGGTCCTGCTGTAAATTTCTTTTACTTTCTTCATAAAAATTAGTTGTGTCTTGCTTAACTGAAAGAATTCTCCTGATTGTACCCTTCCGTTTCCGTCGTTATTATCATTATTACTATTACTACACTACCTTACACTAATCTGTGGTCGTTATTGTTTTTATACGACACATTTTTTTTATACGCACATTACCTTGTTTTTTCTCTTTCCGTCGAAATTGTTTTGAGTGGCGTATATATAACTAATGCCCCCTTGTACCAATATTTATGTGTTTAAATAAAATGACAAGATCTGCCATTTCAGTATTTTCATGACTTAAAGTTACCTTATTAAAATATACCGCATGGCTACCCATCTAGTTGTTTATAGTGTTCGTTGTCAAATCAGAACTGCACATTCATCGTGCATCTAAGAATTAAATATTTTATTGTGGATGTGAGAATGGTGGTTTCTATACGCCGCACTGTTGGTTCATTGCAAATAAAATCTACCATTAAAAGTAGCGGAATGTTAGTGAACAAGGACGATACAACTAATGATATCATGAAGTTATTCTTGACCGATAGATATTTTACATTCTCAACAAATTCATGGAATCCTTAACAATATGCTTAACAATTTTTTGTGTAATGGTTTGAGAATTTGCACTAACCATTTTGTTATGGTATGATGGGCTGAGTTATTCATATCTAAAACTGGTCGAAGGGGCAAGCCACTTTTACGTATGCTTGGCAGGCCATGCGGCCTTGGTGTAATCGCTCCTTCTTTGCTCAATTCGTTCCTTATTTATTTACCATATGTCAAAATGGGAATTCTCACCATATTGAAACATTCTGAGCAAACATTTGCGTTAAATATTCTCCACGTGTATCTAAAGTATAGCAAAACGCCCAGTGAGGAGAAGACAAATAAGTTTTTAAGGTTAACATTATCACAAATATTTCAAGTGCACAAAGAACTCGATTTACGACCACCGATTTTCACCGTCCTTTACTTCATTTTTGTCATTCTATCCATTAAGTATTCTTAAATCAGGGACTTTATTTTATTTGTAAGTACTGTATTATTTCTGTTGCCCAACGCTTTCTTATTTAATTTGAATAATAATTACATAAGCGTAGTCGACCTACAAGTTTGTGTACGTTTTATTGTACCAACAATCGTAGATACATATGCTGTGAAGTTTAATAGATCTATCCATTTCATTTTAATTTACATCATGTTAATAAATTGTGTAAGTCAAGGTTGTCAGTGTTAACGGGAAGTAAAAATCTGAGTATTGAATAACGTTTTATCAAACGCAAATCATTCCTAGTATTTACGTGGTTCACTTGACGCCGTATGAACACTTTTATCACGGCATGTGGTTCAAATGGATGATATTAGTGCGATCGCAGTACTTTTATAAAGCCCTTGAGCTTTCAATAAAACAACATAGGAACTTTCCATGTTAAGTTATATTAATATTTGTTCTAAACCTAATTCGCCTTTTCCATAGACGACGTCTAAAGTTTGACAGTACATGAATTATTTGATGGCTACTATTTGCTTCTATTCGTAAATGGTAACAATATCTAATTTCGGTCTAACTTAAAATCAGTATTTAGCCAGACAAAAATGTTTTACAACGCGACTTGTCCTGTTTACGGGCATTTTGTGAATACATTCATTATCTGAAAAGTGGACTAATAAGTCTTAAAAAGGATGAATAACTACTGACAGCTATGGAACGATTCCAAATAAAGCTACTGTAACTTTTATCCTGCTAACCATGATCATAGAAAAATAACGAGAATTCACTTTTTTTATGGAATTTGTTCAGGCCTGTGCTAACTATAAACCTTAGTGATATCCCTCAGAAATCAATATACATATTTTATATCGCATTCAATGAGCTTCGTGAAACTTCAAAATGACAAACAGATAGGTCTCTAAATAATAAAAAAGCAAAAAGGAACTCAAAAACTTTACTTATGCAATCGATTAATTGTAGATTAAGAATACAGAAGTTCTAGACAGCAGAGATATAAAGTTCACAAACTGATATTTAATTTAGTTAGTGGCGTAGTACAATATAATTTCGGTCCTACTATGTTCATTGCTCGTGCAGTAAATTCTGCCACAAAACATTTATGTAAGCCCTTTTAAAGTTGCACTGTGAGTATGAAAATTTGCATTTAAGCTTTTGTTATTCAAAATGATTATCAATTACTAAAACTAATCTACAGGTTATCAACTTCCATTGCAAAGGTAAAATTGAAGTTCGTCATTTGCTTGTGCGTAATTCGGCGAAACAAATGAGTTGCTATGACAATCGCTCCTACAAAACATTTACAGCATATCTTTATACGTGTATAATGATTCAGTTTTACATAATGGTTTCAAAAAACAGTAATTCAGATAATATATTTTCTACCGCCTCGATACGACATGCGTCAACATTTGACGCTTCTTATAAGCTGAAATTTGGTTCTTGATCACAGAATTTCAAAAAATAATGATAAACCAAAAAGCTAAAAATTACTTCGAACCTCCAGTACTTATATGAATAAGAAGATTCGAAAAACGAGCGCGTGAGATGTAAAATACTGACCTGAACGGTTTTTAATTCGTGACGCCTCATATAGGTTCAGGCTCATCATTGATCTTGAAGTTCATGAACTGTTTTTGAGATTGATAACAAGTTATGTCTTTTGAAAAGTTTACAAAAGATTCGTGACCTTCAGGTTTTCTTTAAGGATTTAAACAAACGTAATGCCTCAACTCATTTTTAAGAAAAACTACAACCAACATTGCGTCTCCGAATTCCTTTATTATCTTCTTGTTTGCTAATTAAGCAAGGTTTATATGTAGCTACATCGATAATCCTTGAAGTGGCGAGTAAATCTCAAGATAACTTCGTAAATCTTGGACAGTGAAGTTATCATTATTAGTTTTACTAGACACGCCACCAAATGAGGCCTCGCGGACAAACATCCACACGAAATCACACTTTTATACGCCATATTGTTTATCTCTGATTACAAAATTATTATGTGCCTGCCAAATTTCATCACTGAACGTCAATGTAGTTACGAATATCATACCGTAAACTGCTAGTTTGTCCACTATCACGTTTACATGTAAAATTTCTGTGTTCTTCGATCGTTTATCGCCTATTGATATATCTTTTCATCTTTTTGTCCAAAAACGCATTGAACTCTGAAATAATTAGGATCCTTTTTCTTTCACTCTATAAAGAATGCCACGCTCGCTGGATAAGTCTGGTTCTCCCATTCAGAAGCTCATTATCATAAGCATGGCGTCACCGACTCTCCTCAGTATTTCTTCACAATAACAAAGATACTACCGCGATTGTTTATCAGGTACGCTAGACCTACTGCACATATAGACGATGCTTCAATACACTAGGAATCTTTGGAACAGTCTAGCCTTAAAGGTAGAGAACTCTGTGTCAACCTCACTTATATTCTAAGGATTTAGAATTATTATTATTAGCTCTATTCAATATTACATTTTCGGTACAATATAGAATTTTCAGCGTAAAGTATTTTAACAAGTTTCCGTTTCTTTCTTCTTGGTCGGTCCTGACGATAAATATTGAGTGATCGCCAGTTAGATGTTAACAGTCCAGTAAATGAACATCCGAATAATGTGCATTCTTTTCGCTGTATATTGCCAGCAACCACATTGTCTCTTATTGAGTTTTTTGTAACTTTGACAGGGAAAGGTTGTGCACTTTTCAGAAACGCAGCAGAATAGGTTATGCGATTAATAGACATAACGATACATTAAAACAAACAAAAATAGATAACTTGTTGAAATATCTAGATGGCAGGAACAGGTAGCCCAAATGCTCAAGCAGGCCGCAGACCGTAGACGGTTGATAAATAACCGTAGAATCCCGCTAAAATGAAGATCAGTTTCCAGACAGCGAGAAACGAATAATTTTATTGGTGTTGACACTGTGCATCACCAACGTAGATGATCTATGTCGAAATGATTAGAGGCCTACTCGAGTTAGACGTGAATAGTGTGACAAACTAGCTAACGTCCAAGTCACACCTCGTGGTCAGCACCTTAGGTGGAATATCCCATCGACGTGTCAAGGTATGACAGATGCTTTGAAGACTGTACAACACAAAGGACGTTATTACTGAAGTATATTAGTTAAAGTAGATACAAGCGAAGGGCCAGTCCATGGCGTACAATGAACTTGTGCGCGTCGTTTGTCCTTGACCTTGGCAGTGATCAATGATCTATTCGATATTCAGTGACCCAACTGCTGGATGAGATAGCTAAGGCTGTGACACTTCACTGGCCTTACAACACCACAATTTCCATGACAAATATTTCAAACACTTCATTAAGCCTTGTAGTTTGCCAACCCTCAAACCTGATGACGCACCAGCTGGCTCGCGTCAATAACGACTGCTGTCTACCAACATAGTCGACCACTGGTATGGGTCTATTGAAACATCATAACTTGATCGTTGACCCATTCATGCAGAAGATGCTGGACGGTAACATTGATTTACCTATTTTTATAAATCTATGGTTTCAGGTTGTGAACAGCTCAATCGATACTTGATGAGTATGTCGAGCTTGAAATCGCCTTTTACAACTCACAACGTTGCAAAATATATTACTTTAAAGGAGTATTCTATTGTCGCGAAAATATTTCAGCCACTTGGCATCGGGTACTGTAGTCAATGACTGAGTCAGTCTTAAGTACTTTGCAAGTGAAGTATCGTTGTACTCCTTCCACTCTTAGTATATCAGATAGGCGTAGGTTGGAAAATAAGAACGAGCAGTATTCAACGATAGGTCTTAAACAAACTTTATAAAGGAGGATTTTAGATTCATTTTGATACAAATTGCGGAGAACGAAAACAAGCAATTTCCGCATTTGAGAAGCTTTGTCTGACATGTGTTCAGAGAAATTAAGACTGTGTGAGTAATGTACCCCTAGGTCAGTTACTGATGCTAGTCTGGGCAGTGTGTGATTGCTAAGTGTTAGTTTCGTTTTAAGAGACGTGTCTCCTATACATAACCGGCCGCATTTCTCTTTGTTGAGCTCTAACCCCCAGCGTTCGCACCAGTCGTCTACAATGTTGAGTTCATGTTGCATTGTTTGCATAACAATATTTGAATCGCAAATGTCAGTTTTATAGATGACGTTTAAGTCATCGGCATAGAGGTATACCTTACCTGTGCTAAAGCACTTGCATATATTGTTGATGTATATCATAAAGAGCAATGGACCCAAGACACTACCCTGCACAACACCACTGGTTACTGGTCGAGGTATAGATGTATTACAGTTAATCTTGGTTATTTGATATCTGTTCGTAAGAAATGACTTGATCCATTGCAAAAGGTGATTTATAATTCCAACTGACTTAATTCTGTTGATTAGAAGATTATGAGGTACTTTATCAAAGGCTTTTTTAATATCGAAGTATAGTATAATAACTAGTTTCTTCTGGTCGCGTATACGAGTAACCTCGTTAAAGAAGTCTATCAGGCATGTGCTGCACGAACTTGTCCTAATGAAGCCGTATTGTGATGGGTCTATTAGATCTTCCTTAAGTAGGTAATCAGGTAGTTGATTTTGTATCACTTTTTCCATTATGCGTGATATGACCGGAGTGATATTTATAGGTCTGTAGTTTTCAACCAAGTTTCTCGGTTCAGATTTGTGTTTGGGAATAACATACGTTACCTTCCAGGTTTCCGGGTATGTACCTGTCTCTAAAGATAATGTGTATATTTTGAGTAGTAGCGTCTGTATATCCGGCCCTGACAATTTATAAAAGATTGAAGGGATGTCATCGGCACCAGAACTCGCATTTGGATTAAGCGTTTTAATGGCGGTATGTATACTCCTAATGTCGAAGTTTATGGTACTAAGATAGCTTTGGCCGATGCACTTAATGTCGATATCTGGAGCATGAAATGTATTCCCATTGTGGGGAAACCATTCACTTAATAGTTCACATATGACGGTTTGATCATTATGCGTCACTCCATCTTACAGTAATGAGTGAATGTTGTGGTCTGTGTTCTTCCTTATGCGCTTCGTAAGGAGACGACATAGGGCTTGGGCTTTAGATACAGCAGTGAGCGCAGTACGTTCCTCTACCTGTTTATGCTTATTGTGTTGACTTTGTACTCCTTCAAGTACAGAGTATATCTCGTTCAGGGCACTTCAACGTGCCAGAAATTTCTTGGCTCCCAGTCGAAGCGCCGAGACGTTATGAATCATTTATTGAATATCTAGTGCTTTGACAATGGACTCAGTATGTCAATAGTCCAACCAGAAATCAAAATACCTTGTACTTAGTCTTTGCCAGTGGCCTAACCCCTAATACTGTGTATACTAGAAAAAGACTTCCAGATGATGATCATACATTGCCATATGCAGCCTTCATACAAAAACAACAACCGGTAGACGTAAAACCGTAATACCTCGTAGAAACTACCACAAGGTTGATTGGAACAACTTCCACAATTAACTGGTAAGCACTGATTTGAGAACTTTCTTTACTGCAAACAATACCGACACATTAACCAAAATATTTTATCACAACATCAAAAGTATCGTCAACAACATCGCACCTTTAGAACACAGTAGTCATACGTTCTCTAAAGACACGCCTATTAGACTGTTTGCTTATTTCACGTCTCCTTTATTTCTATTCCCTTATTTTCTCCATTTCCTTCTTTAAACTCAATTCAATATTCTTCTCAATTACACAGCCCGATTTATTATTATTATTAATATTCTACTATTAATATTCTACATTTTTTTTAAATATTTTATTTTATTTTTTAAATATGGCAAGTATAATGCTAACATTATTGAAAATTGTGTATTATTGCATTTTCTGAAGAAACCCGAAATGGTTTCTTCACAACACTTATGTACCCATAAGATGTTTGTGAATAATAATAATAATAATCTCTATGTACCGGTCAGTACAAGAAGACGTCTTCAAAGACATTGTACTCGATTCCACAACTTTGATGACTTTTTCTCTTTAGTAACGATGATAGAAATAACTGTCCAAACAGAGGCAATCAGTACACAAAAAGCAGTCGCACAGGAAAAACGAGCATTCGAACTTAATAATTACTCCTCTGCACTCACCATACTCCTTAAAAACAAACTTAAACGTTCTAAATCGAGAGGGAGCATACTCATTAAAGACAAACAAGTATATGAAGATCCTAAACTTTTTACGCAATTATTTGATGAACACACTTGTTTCTCAATAACTAACGAAAAACCGCCTAATGATTCAGAATCAATCGGATTGTCTCCCTGTGAAATTACTAATGTAGACTTCAATGTACAAAATATCTCCAATGCAATTAATACATTGAAACACTCTTACATTGATGGACCAGATGGTATTGCAGCTAGCATGCTAAAACGTGATGATATATGTTTTCTTTGCTTCTCAAACTATTCGCGATATCACCCTTTACAGAGTGTTACCCTACTGCCTGGAAAACTACGCATATCGTTCCCAAAATTAAAACAGGACCTGAAGCAAATGTTGACAATTACCGGCCCATAAACATAACTTCAGTGGTATCTAGAGTGATGGAAAAAGTAGTTAAGGCGGGTGTAGTC